TTGCCTTCACGACGAGCGCGACTGCCTCTACGAGTACGTGCCCGACAACGTGGTGTCCATGCGGCGCATCGTCAACACTGTGCCCATCACCGTGCGCCTGCTGCAGCAGCAGCAGCAGGGGGACTTCGGGGGCCCCACGCCGCGCCAGGCGGTGGCGTGGGTGGTGCTCGCCAACCAGTGGCCGTGCCGCCTGAGCTGGGCGCTGCAGTGCCTGGAGGACCGGCAGCAGACGGGGGGCGCGCCCGAGGGCCGCGCGCGCCTCTGGGACGTGTTCCGCGACAACAGCCGCGAGCTGCACACTATGACCAAGGCGTTGCAGAACGTACTCGACCTGGACGGCGACCCTGAGCTCTTCGAGCGCTTCCTGGGCGCCGACTTCCCCTTCACCGTGGCCGAGGCGCAGAGCCTGCTGCGCTGCACGGTCAACCTGGACCACTCAATCCGCCGGCGCATGGGTCTCATCCGAGCCGTCAGCGCGCTCAAGCCGCCCAGCCCGCCCAAGTCCCCTGCCCGCGATGCCCCCCACGCTGCCCACCGGACCAACAGCACCTCCAGGGCGCCTCCGTCGGGCCGTGCCGCAGGGCCAGCTAGCGAAGGCCACCACGCTGGGGACTTGACCCACGGCCTATGGCCGGTGGCCTGCGCGCTCTTCCGTCCAGGGCAATCCAGCCCAGGTGGGCCTTGAATGGAGGACTTGGCGGGCAGCAGGAGGCAAGAGTTCCTCTATCTGCCCAGATGGGGGAATAGGCGGCTGGACTGAACCCAGGGTCCCAATGAGCCCTGTGAGGGCCACACCCCCAGGTGAATCTAAGCCAGAGCCGTGGACAGAGCCTCCAGGAGTGGGGCGGCGAGCCGGTGGCAGCATGAGAGCAGGCACATAAGGACCAATGAGGAACTCAGGATGTACGTGCAATAAATGGAGGTGTTGAGAGCCCCGAGTTGCTCTCTGCATCCTGATCCGACCAGGGACCAGGCCTGCCCCGTCCTGCCACAGGGCCTGCCCCATCCTGTCAAGCCCACTTCCTCCTCCGCGCCATGCTGGCCTTCTCATCTGGCATCTCCGTGGCAGGAGAGGCTGCGGGGGCGGTGGACGAGGCTGCAGAGCTGGGAGATGACAGGTGGATGGGCGGGGTTGACTCAGGCAACATGGAGCGCCCAGGCCTCAGGGAATCCCAGTCCTTGTCCCCATGCCCTAGCCTGCCCCTCTGTGAGTAGGGCAGGAGCTGGCATTTCCGAGGGTGACCTCAGTGACCTCAGCAGGCTGCTCCACCCCTAGGGTGGCTCTCATTCTCAATGTAATGGGTTAATTAGACCTCACTGGCACCTCAGCCAGTTGGGGTGGGTGGCACTAACCTCCCTCAGACAAATAACTGTCCACAGGGTACCTGCCTTATGAGTCACTCCAGGGCCACCTAAGGACCACTGGTTAGTCACTGACACTGAAGCCACTGCATCAGCCCTTTGATGAGGACAGGGAATTTGGGCAGAGATGGGGACATACAGGACCCAAGCCACAGCCAGCCAGGGGGGTTACACTAGGGCTCCCCACCTTTCCTCTGGACAGAGCCCTGGGCTGGGGTGGGTGTCACTCCTCTGGGCAGTTCCTGATTCCTCATTGGTCAAATGTTCAGCCACACGCTCAGGCCCTGGGGTGCCTGACCCAGTTCCAAGTGTGTGCCCGCAGGGACTCCAAGGGCCAACACTGAACACACCCTGGGATGAGGCTGAGGGTGTAGCTTCTGAGCCAGGGCCCTGAGGCTGGCAGAGGGGACAGTCCCCGAGGAACCTGAGAGCTCTGCAAAGGCACACACCCTCAGGCCATGGGACTGGGGTCACTGACCTCACAGTTCTTTAGCTCCAAGGCTGGGCACGGCATCCAGGTCTGGCTGCGGCACCAGAATCCTCTGGCCACAGCAATTGTCACAGGCGCATGCGGGTCAGTGGCGGCCCTCCAGGATCTTCCCTGGAGTTGAGCAAGCAGAGGTGCTGTTTCCCATTCCCGGCCTGGCTAAGCTGGTGATACACCTGGACCTCCTGGGAGCTGTTTCCTAGCTGTCAGGGACAGTTGGCCTCCGAGGGAGAGGCATGGGGCCTGTGACACCGTTAAGTCTGTTTCTGTAGATGTGTGGTTGGGGTCAGTATATCCCTTTAGCCTCCTCTAAGCCAGTTTCAGTTGGTTTTGTTTCTTACCACCTGGAATCCAGGCTGAAAATACATTTTCACTGTTACCAGGAGTGGGGTGCTGTGAGAGATGCTAACGTGTAGACTTGGCTGGAGGTGGGGGCAGGACTGAAGCCCCCCATGCCTCAGTAAGAAGCTGCATCAGCCTGGCCAACATGGTGAAACCCTGTCTCTAATAAAAATACAAAGAAAATTTAGCTGGGCATGGTGATGCACACCTGTAATCCCAGCTACTCAGGAGGCTGAAGTGGGAGGATCACTTGAACCCGGGAGGCGGTGGCTGGAATGAGCCAAGATGGTGCCACTGCATTCCAGCCTAGGTGGCAAAGTGAGACTCCGATTGGAAAAAAAAAAAAAAAAAAAAGCTGTAGCCTCTGTTACGTGGTACCAAGCTGTGGCCAAACTGTTGGCCACTGTATCTTTACGTGGAGCTGCTCTGAGAACTTGCACCTGTGTAAAGCCACGGGACCGGTTGTCACCAACAAAACGGGAGCACGGCTGATGTGTGCACCTTTCCCAGCAATGAGTTAGGGAGCAGGTTTCCCTTCTCCACTCCCTTCCCCCATCTGCCCACTTGATCTGAGACCCATGAGGCCCTGGGGAGCAACAGAGCTCTAAGAGCTTCAAAGGGGCCTGGATCCAGGAATAACTTGGTGAAGAGCTGCCTGCTACTCTGAACATCCACGTGTAACGATAAGCATCTCCTGTGTTAGGACACTGAGATCTTGAATGAAACAGACCCCCTACATCTTCAGCAAAGGCTAGCAAAACGTGACAAGCTCGGGCAACACGGGTGGCTGAAGGGAAGGGGAAGACAAGACGGCAGGGAGGATCCTCTCAGCTTCCAGTCCTCCATCTGGGAGCCCTCAGAAAATCAGGAGCGCACCAGGCTGGGGTGTCAAGATAGGGCTGCGGTTTCTAGAGCTGCTCTATCGCAGTCCGACAGACCACGTGCCTTTGAAGGACAAATGTATCGTCTCCCGCTTCTGGAGGCGACAAGTTCCAGATGAAGGGGGGCCCTCTGTGCCTGCTCCCTGCTCCTGGCGCATTGCTGGCCATCTCCACACTCCCTGGCTTGCAAAGGCATCACCCCATCCTCTGTCTTCACGTGGCGGTCTCCCTGTGCCCAAATGCCCCTTTTAATAAGGACACCAATCAGACTGGAGTAGGGCCCACGCGAATGTCCTCATTTTAACTTGAGTACCTTTGTAAAAACCCTGTTTCTAAGTGAGCTCACATTCTAGGGTACTGGAGGTAAGGACTTTAAACATCTTTTTTTGTGGGAGACACAATTCAAGCCCCGGGAAAGGCCCAGTTCCTCACTCCAAGCTCAATTTTAATGAAAGCAAATCAAGGGACAGGCTGGGAAGAGGATCCCTGTCCCTCTCCTAGCTGACCCCACCTGGGGTGGGGAGGCAGACGGCCAAGAGACCCCAACACAGCTGCCTCCACAGAGGCTGAGACCATGAGCAACAGCTAATATTGACCAAGGGCCTCTGAAGATCTTTGGGGCACTGTGCTGACCCGAACCAGGCGAAGGACGGCTTCAGTACCTTGAAGCAAAAGCCTCACACGCTCTGGCCTCACCTAGACGGGCTGGATCCACGATGGCCAGGAGGGGCCCCTTCTTCCCTTCACCCATGGCCACACTGCACATTAGCAGAGCTGGGGACAGGCTGGCTGTGCAGGGATGGGAAGGGTGCTGCGGGCTGCTGGCGGCCGTTCTGTGTAGCTTCCCTAAGTCCTTCGCCCAAGTCCTAGCGGTGGCTGACCTGGGGAGCAGTGACGACACTTACAGCTGCAAGGGACCAAACAGCAAGCCAGCAGTGGGTTCCTAAGGTGCTCCTCACAGAGGCCAGGGTGGCTGCGGGCAGGGGACTCCTTGGTGTGCGCAGGAGCTGAGTGACACCAGGACTCCAGCCAGCGACTGTGGTTCTTGTGATGTCACCACACCACCACCTGCATCCATGTCAGCCTCCCACACGAGAAAGGGGATGGGTGGCCCAGAAATGCTTGTTTTCTAATTTTTTTTTTTTTTTTTTTGAGACAGGATCTTACTCTGTTGCTAAGGCTGAAATGCAGCAGTGCAATCACACCTCACTGCAGCCTCAACCTCCTGGGTTCAAGAGATCCTCCCGACTCAGCTTCCTGAGTGGACTACAGGCATGCGCCACCACACCCAGCTAATTTCTGTATTTTCTATGGAGATAGGGTTTCACCATGTTGCCCAGGTTGGTGTCAAATTCCTGGGTTCAAGTGATCCTCCCACCTCGGCCTCCCAAAGTGTTGGGATTACAGGTATGGGCCACCACGCCTGGCCTGCTCCCTCATTTCCTAAAGGGAAAAACAGACCTCTCGGAAACGGGCAACAGCCCACCATGGCCCCTGCTGGCAAAGGGGAACAAGCCGCCCTGTTAACAGCCTCCTGCAGCGCTGGCTGGGCCCCGGGCACACTCCCACCAGCACGACACCCAGGGCTGCCGGGGACAGGCTGGGATCTGCTCCCGTTGAGCGACGGGCAACTGGGCAGAGCCACTCCGTATCTAGCATCCTGAGACCCTAGACCTGAAGCCAGGAGGTATCTGGGGCCTGTCTCTCCCTGCAGAAAGGATGGGTATAAACTGGCCTGGCTGGGAGGTGGCTGTATGAGACACCGGAGCATGGACACAGAGAAGACGGGACTGTGGGGGAAGATGCAGTAATGCCTGGCCAACCTCCTGAGCCCTGGCAGACACTCTGTAACCAGGAGCTGTGATGGCCTGCACCCAGCTCCCCACGCCAGCAACCACCCCTAGTATCCGCATGAAGCAGACATCCGGCAAAGTGAACCCAGCCCCAGTTTATTAGAAAAGGTGTGAACAGAGTTGCACCGACAGGAGTAGCCCCAGCCCTCTGCCCACCCTCACCCACACCCACACCCATGCCACCCGCCCCCAACGGGTTGTAGTGCCTCTCAGGGCGCAGCCTCCAGTGGCCTGGACAGCAGGGTCCCGGAGTGCCGGCTGCTCCCGCCCCAGCTCCCTGATAGATTTATTGCACTTGAGAAAGAAAGCTCTGATCCTCTGCTCCCATCCCCCCACCCTGCCCGGCCTGCACTGTCTGGGGCTGTTCTGCTCGTGTCAACCACCACCAGCACGCACCGCTCCTCCGGCACCAGGCTGCCTGCTCGGCCCTGTGCCCAGGGCCACAGGGGACCATCCCACCACCACCCAGGACCCCTGCCCTCTGCAGGGCAAGCCTGGCCCCTCCAGAACAGGCGCCTGATGTCGTTGAAGAACTCCTCCTGCTCCCCCTCCTCCCATTCACCCCCAGAGTCTTCCAGTGGTGGGCTCATAAACAGAAGTGCCTGAGTCGTACGGGGAGGGCCGCTCCCTGTAGCTCCTGCACCCCTTGTAGTGTTGCTGTGGGGGGAGGGGGGGCCCCAGAATGGCCCCCACCCCTGGCATCCTGGGCCTCAGGAAGGCTGGGGGGAAGGTGAGCAGATTCTCATGGCTCTGGCCTCAGCTAATCGCAGACCGACCGGAAAAAGGGAACTTGGGGAGGAGAGATTGCGGGAGAGACTGTCAGAGCTGGGGGCTCTCTCATCTCCTCCCCAGTGCCCTGGGCCCCGGGCCTGGCCTCACCTAAAGTGTCACAGTGTCTCCTGCCCGGATTCCTGACTGGCTTCCAGAAGCAGCTCCTCAAGCTCCTTCTCATTCTTGGAGCAGCTCAGTTCTGTGTAGGAGGATGGGCCAGCAGCCCCGTCAGGCGGGTGGGGCAAATACAACCTGTCCCCAGCCTGTCCCCAGCCAGACCCTCGGGGCCTGCAGAGGGCCCAGAGACCGATGAGATGGTCAGGCTCAAGGCAACACACCTTACATGCCCCACCCCAGGAAGAGCTCCCAGGACCCAAGGGAAGCGCGGTGTACATGAAAACCAAGCCCCACTTGTGCTGGCCCCTGCGAGAACCATTTTAAAGAGGGGAAACTGAGGCCCACAACAGACAGGGGCTTGCCTGAGGTCACACACAGCACCCAGGGCCCCTCATCACTTGCCCTAGGGCCCCTCTCACCGTGCTCCAGGCCGCAGCTGCCCCCCTTGACCTCAGGCCCCGGGGGTGGCTCAGGGGGCAGTGCCAGGGCGAACTCGGGCTTCAGGCCGTTGGGCAGCGATGGCCCTGACTGAGGCGGCTCCGGTGGTTGCTGAGACTCAGAGGACCCTGTGTCCCGGGTGACAATGGCCCCGGCAGGTGGTAGGGAAGGTGAGGCGGGTGGGGAGGGAGGGGGCGGGGGAGGAGGAGGGATGGGGGACGAAGGGGGCTCTGCCCTCTCGGGTGGGCTCTGCACCCGGGTCACCACAAACACCTTGTGGCCCCGGCCTGGGCTGGACACGGAAATCCGCTGCTCAGTGGGTGTGGAGGGGCTGCCTGGGGGACTCCTGTCCCCAGGGCCCAGGGAGTCCGTGGGGGGCACCAGGGCAGGACAGGGGGTCTCATCCCTCTCCCCTTCCTCTTCCTCCTCATCCTCCCCATCCGAGTCCGAGTCTGAGTCTGAGTCCGGGCTGGGTGCGGGGCTGGGGGCCCCGTTCTGCACCCCAGCAGCGGGCTCGTCGTCGGGCTGGGGCTCGGTGGCGGTGGTCTCAGGCATGGAGGCCAACAGCTGCGGCGGCTGCTCCTTCTCCTCCCGCTCCCGCGCCAGCACCAAGTTGCGCTTGCAGCCGTTCTGGATCTCGGCCAACAACGCCTTCTGCGTCTCGATGAAGCTCTTCACCTGTGGCAGGAGCGCCTGGCTAGGGCTCTCAGGCCGGCCCCACCACCCGGCCTTCCACCCGCCCATCCGCCCGCCCCAGGGCTGCAGGGCCGTCCCCTGCTTACCGCCTCCTTCTTGGGCTCACGGTCGAGGTCCAGGCGCAGCAGTGAGTGGTTCACCTTGAGGGCCAACGACAGTGCCATGAGCCCGCCTGTCTTGATCTCGTTCTCCCGAAGGTCCAGTCTCAGGAGGCGGGGGCTCTCAGCGATGAACTCCGCCACCGCCACCGCGCCTGGGGGGGCACCGCAGGGGCTGGCCACGGGCCCCACACCCGGCTGGCCGCCCCGCTGAGCCCAGCAGCCCGCACCCGGGCCGGCCCCGTACCCTACCCTCGCACGTGAGCTTGGTGGAGGCCAGCCCCAGGCGCAGCACGCTGCGGTTGCTGATGAGCCCGTTCTTGAGGTGCCGCACACCCTCGTTCCCGATGGGGTTGTGGCCCAGGTTCAGCGTCTCCAGGCTCTGAGTGTGCGGCTGGAGGGAGGGGGCGTAAGGGTGAGGAGGGAGCCTTGGTGGCGGAGGAGGGCCCAGGACGGCTTGGTGGCGGAGGAGGAGTCAGGAAAAGCGTGAAGAGAGCCAGGGTCGGGCGTTCCTTTTCCTTGGCGCGCCTGCGCGTTGAGCACCGGCGTCGTCCTGCCCTGCCTCAGGCCTGGCCTGAAGTCCCTTTTGTGCCTGAAGTCTTCCCAAATGCCAGGTCCTCTGTCCACTCCCAGGCACCCAGTCAGTCCCTACCCCCAACAGCCTGAGCCCATGGCCAGGGCCTGGACCTTGAGCGCCCTGAAGCCCCTAAGGCGGGCGACTCTTACCCAGGGTTTGGGCACACCAGTGCTCACCCTGAGAGTCTCTGTGCCTGCTTGGCTTGCTTTAAGCACCGCGTAAAAACTGAAACCCAGGTGCGGTGACTTACACTCATAATTCCAATACTTTCGGAGGCCAAGGCAGGGGGAATCACTTGAGGTCAGGACTTCAAGACCGGCCTGGCCAACATGGTGAAACCCCATCTCTACTAAAAATATAAAAATTAGCTAGGTGTGGTGGCGGGCACCTGTAGTCCCAGCTACTTGGGAGGCTGAGGCAGGAGAATCGCTTGAACCCAGGAGGTGGAGGCTGAAGTGGCTGCAGTGAGCCTAGATGGTGCCAGTGCACTCCAGCCTGGGTGACAGGGTAAGACTCAGTCTCAAAAAAAAAAAAAAGATAAAGAAGGGCTGCTCCTCAGAGAAAACAGGCACAGAGGTTGAATGAGGAAGCAGGTGGGGCTGAATTTAAATCGTCGTGAACCTGCAGGGTGGGCAGGACAGGAGCCGTCAGCTGCAGACAACTGTGCCGAGAGCTGGGATGGGAGGCGGCAGTGGGGACCGAGGTGCCTCCCTCCCCTGCCAGCCTGACTCACCAGTGTCATGCCCAGGAAGGCCATGCCCGTGTGTGTTAGCTGGTTGTTCCACAGCACCAGGGTCACCAGCCCCTTCCTCTGCTCCTTGAGGCCCTCGCAGATGTAGGCCAGACCTGCAGAAGGCCGGCAGTCAGAGCCCTGTCTGGGGCTGGGGTGCTTCCCCGGGAGGGGGCTGCGGGATAGGAGCAACCCCTTCTGCTTAGGACCTCCGTGGAGGTCCCACAGGCCCAGGCCCTGCCCTGCAGCCCTGCCTCGGCCTGGCACCCTTGGGCACACATCTGTGACCCCTGGGCCCGGGTGCCCGGATGACAGCCTCCCCCAGATGTTTCTGTTCTTTGCTCAAATGTGACCACCTCCAGCCCACCTCACCTCGAAGCCGGCTCACTCCCACCCACAGTCAGCACTGTCTCCCTCCAATGCAGATCCCACCATCTGACGGGCTGCAGGTTTCACTCATCTTCTCTTTGTCTCTAGACTGGAGTACAGGCTCCCGAGGGCAGAGCCCTGTGTCTCCCTCCGGGCTAAGCCCAGAGGCCTACAGCCATGGTCCTGGACAGGTGCTCAGCAGAGTGCGGTCTGGGCCTGCCACCTGGGGACACAGTGACCCTCCCCCCACCCCTCCAGGATGCAACAGGAATGCCTCCTTTGACGGATCCCCATTCTCTGCTCAACCCCCCAACATCAAACACCAGAGCTCCTCTCACTGCACTCGTGGCTCCCTCCATCTGGACCCTTTCCCAGGCTTCTCACAAGGCTGGTTCTGCTTCCAGCCTCCAGATGGAAACCCAGAGGCCCCGACCCACGACCCACAGTGGTCTTCCCTACTCCACCATCTGAAAGCAGCCTCCAGCTGAGCCTGTTATCGCAGCAACACTGCTTTCTTTTCAGATTGTAATTATTCACTTCACATCATCCTGCGGCTGTCAGCTGAGGTGTCTCCTCCTCCAGGAAGCCCTCCCTGGCCCCCAGACTGATCAGACCCTGCCTCTGGGCTCCATCAGCCCAGTCCTGCCCAGTCTAGGTTGTCAGTGGGTCTAGTCTTGGCCACATCTGTGTCCCCAGCACCACCCAGCACAGGGCCACCCAGCACAGGGCCGGGCAGAGTGGGTGCTGGGTGACAGGTGTGGGGTGGGGTGGGCCCCTGCACCCACCCGAGTCCAGCACGTGGTTGTTCCGGAGGTCCAGGATCTGCAGGGAGCAGTTGAACTTGAGCAGGTTACCCAGCTGGGCCGAGTCCTGCAGGCCATTGAGCTTGTTGTCCGCCAGGTACAGCTCCCGCAGGTTCATGTTCATCTTCAGGGCCGTGGCTGGGGATGGGGGGCACGGTGACTGGGCAGGCCCTGCCCAGATCTGGTACACGACCCCTGCCCCCAGCAGGCCGCACGTCCCACTCACCCTCCCGGGCTTGGGGCTCACCGAGCAGCATGAGGGGCCGCCCTGACAGGCTGGCATTCTCCAGGTGCAGCACTGCCAGGCTGCTGCGGATGCGCAGGGCACGGGCCACGAACGGCGCCGAGTGGTCCAGCAGGGGCGTGTTGCGGGCGTCCAGGTACTGCAGGCAGCTCGTCTGCAGGGGACGAGGGGACAGGGGTGAGGCACTGGCTCAGGCCTGCCCCAGCGCTCCTGGCGCCAGCCCAGGACCTGTGGCCCCACATCTCAACAAGCAACGAAGCCACAGCTGTCGTCTGGCTATGTCGCCTGGTTTTACAATAGGGGAAACTGTGGCTGGGGAGGGAAGGCTCAGTCTGGGGTCTCGTGGGTGAGCGAGGCAGGGCTGGTGGCAGCCAGGATCCCCAACTCCTGTGTGGCTGGGAGGTTCCCAGATAGCCCCGACCCTTCCCTGCACCCAGCCTTCACACAGGAGTGACGTGGGAATGGCGACCATGGCCACCTCCAAGGGAATGACTTCACGGAGGGATGACATTGTGGATGGGAGAAAGTGGAGGTCACGAAACGCCTCGCAAGGAGAGAAGGGGCTGGGGGCCTGGGGGCCAGGACACCTCTCAGCCGTGTTCTCCTCCTGGCCTGAGGGCCAGGCCCAGTATCCCCACAACAGCCCACACTAAAGAGCTCATGCAGTCAGAGCCTACGGGCCGTGCCCTGAGACAGCGCCTCCCCGTGCCAGGAGCCTGAGCTGCCTCTTCCTGGAAGCCGAGAGGCGCCCACCTTGCGCATCATGTGGGCGGCCGCCTGCCAGCCCCGGGTGCCTATGTGCTTGTTGAAGGAGATGTTGAGGTGGGTGGCCGACTCGTAGTACTCGATCATGTCGAAGAGGGCCGAGGCACCCTGCAGGTAGAGATTCGGGGGCTCAGCTCTGGGATGCCCTGGGGGAGAGGCGTGGGCCCTGACACTGGGCCCACTGAGAGATGAGGGGTCCAGGGTCTGGAGAGAGCCTCACGGGAGAGGAGGACAAGCATAGACAGGGCCCCGTGGGCCACGGGGACAAACCCTTTCCTTCTCTGCTGTAGCCAGTCTGTTTTTTGTCACTTGCCCTCCAGAGTCCTTGACTGATGTGCTGAGTGACCAGGACAGGCCTTGGTGTTCCTGAGCCTGGGCCTCAGGATCCGGACATCAGGGGTGCCTGGGGACTTCCAAGGCTGGGGAGGGGAGGGCCCTTGGGCCTTGATGGGAGGCTGCTCTCAGAATGCTTTCCAAGCCCATCCCATAGGAGCTGGACCCGCCAGCGTGGTTCCTGAAAGGGCTCCTGGGGGCCACACGCCTGCCCCTCAGCTCAGCTCCCCAAGGCTCTCCTTGCTTATGACGGTGGGCCATAGGGGCCCCAACGCACCCTCCACATCCACTCTGGTCATACTGGATGTCTCTCTCTTGCCCTGCCAGAGGTCCCGCCCTTGCACCACCCCTCAGCCTTTGTCTAGGGGACCCCCTCCTCCTGCAGTGTCCTCTCCCCACCCAAACCTCGAAGGGGCCCGGGAGCTCAGGGAGCCTAGTGGGTGGTGGCAGGGCTGCTCACATCTTCATCCAGGTTTGTCTGCTCCAGGTCCACGACCTTGAACTGCAGCCTCTTGAAGACCTCTTCCAGGGCCTCGCAGGTCTTGTAGTCAAGCTTCTCACCTGGGGGGAGTCAGCAGCCGTGCGCATGTCTGAGACAGCGCACCTCTGCATGGCGGGAACATGGCCGGGGAGGCTGGAAGGGCCCTCTGCCCCCACCCTCCCACCCCACACCAGGCCCAGCCCCTGCCCTGGCTCAGCTCAGCTCCAGAAGCTGCTGACCCCAGGCAGGTCCTCAGACTCACCTCTAGGGAGCCCCCGACCTGCCCACGACCCAAGGGCTCCCAGTCCCTGGCCAGACACACACCTTTCAGGTCCAGACAGTCGAGGCGGTGCCCGAGGTCTGTGAATTCCTGAGAAAGCAGAGTGGATGGGGGTTAAGGCAGAACGACACTTGACCAGGGAGGCAGTCGAGGCCCCAAATGGCTGCTATGCCAGAGGTCAGGCAGGGTTCCGGGGTGGGGTTTCTGCAAAGGCACTGAACAGAGGCTCAGACGCCGCCCACCAGCTGGAACCTGGGGTACAGGGCCTTAGATAGCGAGAGAACTCTGCACCCACATGACTGAGGACCAGCCAGCCCTGCAGCCAGGCAGGCCTCGGCAAAGCGCCTCTGCCCCAGTGGGACCAAGCGAGGGAGTAGGCCCAGCATCTCTGGAGGATGTCCCGACAGAAGGAGTCTGTGCAAAGGCTGTGAGGCAGGAAATGAGCCTGGGAAGCTGGCAGGGCTGGGCTCAGGAGGCCTCTTGGTGAAGGCAGAGCCTGGGGCCCAGCACCCAGTTAGAGCCCACCGCCCTGCAGACACCAGCTCCCGCCCTCTGGGCTTACACACATCACCTGTAGGGTGGATGCTGCACGGCTGGTCTGAACTAGGCCGACGGGCTCCAAGGACCCACCCTCTCAACTGCCACACTGAGCAGCCACCCTTCTTGAGACCTGGCAAGCCCCTCTTCTGGAATGTTCCAGAGAACCTACCCTAACCCCAGTGAACAGTGATGGACAAGGAGCGTGGTTGCTTCCAGCACAGCTGAGGGTCAACAGCCCGAGGACAGGCAACCCTGGAACCCTTGGGACCAGCGGTGCTTCACTGACTAGGCGTCAAGCTGGGGCCCACAGGAGAGGCGCCGAGGGAGGGGGCTGGGGGAGTGGCATGGTGGGAGAGCCACCTCTGTGGAAATGGAAAACCAGCAGGTAGCTCTCAATAGCCACCTTACCAACGCACAGAAAAGGCCAGGAAATGCCGAGTGGCCAACAACGGGGGTTCCCGAGGAGGGGGGCCTTGGGGCAGGAGATAAGAGGTGGATTTGGTTTTTCAGATCTGTAGTATTTTAATTTTTTTTTTCTAACCCAAGGATATATGTTATTTCTGTAATTCTGACTTTTATGAATATGCTGGGCGTGGTGGCTCATGCCTGTAACCCCAGCATTTTAGGAGGCCGAGGTGGGCAGATCACCTGAGGTCAGGAGTTCGAGACCAGCCTGGCCAACATGGCGAAACCCCACCTGTACTAAAAATACAAAAAAAATTAGCTGGGCGTAGTGGCGTGCACCTGTAATCCCAGCTACTTGGGAGGCTGAGGCAGGAGAATCGCTTGAACCCAGGAGGCAGAGGTTGCAGTGAGCCGAGATCGTGCCACTGCACCCAGCCTGGACAACAAAAGCAAGACTCTGTCTCAAAAAAAAGAAAGAAAGAAAGAAATTTTGTAATTCAGACTTACAAGAATCGTATATATGTCTCTTCCCCAGGGAACAGCGTTTCTTTTGGGGCTGACGGATACCTGAATGTCTTACTTTATAGAATTCTGTGCTCTTCATATTTATGAAGACACTGATTAGTTCTCTAGCTGAGCAGCAGGCTTTCAAAGATGTATTCATGATCGCCTGGGGCTGGGGAGTGGGAGGCCCTCTCCTGCTGGGGTGGCTCCACCCTAGGGCCCCCCGACACCCACACTGGATGCACCCAGCCCGCCCCTCCTGTACCTGCAGCTGCCTGAGGAGCTTGGGGATCTGCCTGCAGTTCAGCTTCTGGCAGGCCTGCTTGTAGGCGCCGATGACCTCATCCACGGTCACGTTCTGGGCTGCAGGGACAGGGGACCCAGGCCTGTGACTGTCCACACCCCGAGTCCCTCATGGGGCTCCACCCACTCCTGCCCCAAGGCCTCTGCCCCTACTGCCCTCTTCAGCCCTCCCCCAACAACAGGCTGCCTGAGCTCTGTACTCCCTTTCAGGCCCCCGGCTGGCCACTGCCCGAGGTAAGGTGCCCTTGGGCACCCCCACCCCAAGTCAGCACCGCCCTCCACGCCTCACCTTGGCTCTAAGCACCTTCACATAAATACACAGGAAGAGTACACAATCTTTCTACACATCAGCCACCTCCCCTACTAGACTGGGAGCCCAGGAGGACAGGACCGGGGCCGTCTTGGTCACCACCACGTCTCCAACACTGTCTCGGTGTTTTGTTTGTTTTTGAGATGGGGTCTCACACTGTCGCTCAGGCTGGAGTAAAGCGGTGAAAACACGGCTCACTGCAGCCTTGACCTCCCAGGCTCAAGCATCCTCCTCACTAGCAAAGACCAAAGGCGTGCACTGTCATGCCCAGGTCATTTTTATTTCTGGTGGAGATGGGGTCTCACTATGTTGCCCAGGCTGGTCTCAAACTCCTGGGCTCCAGCAATCCTTCTGCCTCAGCCTCCCAAAGTGCTGGGATTACAGGTATGAGCCACTGTACTTGGTCCTTGGTTTTTGGGTTTTTTTTTGTGCTTTATTTGGGTGAAAGAACGAATCCTCACTTTAACCCTATAAGGAAACCAAGCTCAGAGAAACAGCCTTGCCCAAGATCACACAGCTGGTATACATGGGAGCCGGGCTTTGAACTCAGCTCTCAACTACAATGCCACGTGCCTCTCAGAATCCCCACTCCCAAAATACTCTCAATAGCTACACAGACCCGTACAGCTATTCAGGGCCCGACTCCCTGACCCAGGACACAGAAGCAGGTGGAAGGGACAGGCCTGGTCCCGGGTGTTCCCAGGCTAACAGGCAGTGGCTCCCAGCATGAATGGACGTAGCCCAAACCCAACAGCTGTAGCCCCCGTCCCTGAGAGGCCCACAGCCGCCACCACGCGGAAGCGAGGACTGGGCTTTCCATCTGCACAGATTTGCCTTTTCTGGACATTTGATTAAAATGGAATTGAAGCTGTGTGGCCTTCTGCGGTTGGCTTCCTTTACTGAGCATAATGAGCCCGAGTTTCAGTCCCTTTATACTGCTGAAGAGTAATTATAGGATGTGCTGCGTTTTATTTGCCCATTCACCAGCTGACAAGAATTTGTACTGTTTCCAGTTTTTGGCTATTAGAGCTTGGATTTTACCCCAGGGTGACCAGGGGAGCAGGAAGGAAAGGCTAGGAGCAGAAGAGGGAGAGGTCAGGCCTGAACCATTAGAAAGCCCTTCTTTGGGCCAGCAGATCCTGGGAATGGAGACGACAGGACGGGCAGGGAAGGGGGCCAGGAAGAGGGCTTGCTGGCAGCTTCTCGGGGCCCCCCCCGCCCTGCTGCCATTCCCCTGCTGCTGGAGGCAGTGGGAGTCCCCGAGAGCTTCCAGTCCAGTAATATCTCCGTGTGGACTCCTCCTCCTGCCACCCTGCTAGGCCAGGGGCTTTGCACCCCTGGTCTCATCAAGCACTGCCCCATTTTCTAGGGGAAGAAACTGAGGTCCAGGTAAAGTATGGTGTCTCCCTGGGACCAGGTGGCTGTTCCCGGGCAGAGTCTAACATCAGACCCCGGGACTCCTCTCTGGCCACTGTGCTGGGTGGCGATGGGTTGCTGAACTGCGGTGCTAGAGGAAAGAAGCCGACAGAGGTCAGTCCCCGACATCCCTAGAGGTCAGGCCCAGTTCCTGCCTGGGCACTTCCTCCTGCTTGCGGGTGGAGGCCTGGGAGGAGCTGCAGGTGGTCAGCAGATGGCAGGTGTCCCTCCTGCAGACAGAGAAGGAGCCGTCTGACAAACGCCCATGTGCTTGCTGACCCTGGAGCTCTAGTGGGGACCGGAGCTGGCCCTGCCTGGGAAGGCAGCCCCCAGGACTCCAGCAGCTACCCCAAGTCATGGACAACCCCATGCATGCCCCGGTCTTAACCAGTCGGGGTCATGAACTTGAGGGGAGAAACTCATTATCTCTTTATTTTCATGAACAGAACTGAAATTTAGCATTTCCTTCTTATTAACAGAGGCCAAAAAAGAGACAGAGAAAAGAAACAATGTTTAGCAGACCTTGAGGCTGCCATGAAAAGAAACAACAGATCCTTTCCCATTGCATCAAGTTACAGTAGATTCTGAATGCCCGTCACTACTCTGAGACTGAAGGCCTTATGACAGCTGCTGCTACATCCTCTCACTTCACGTGTCAGCGAGGAAAAGCATTCAGCCTGGCATCCTTTGCAATCCTATTTAATGTTCCGCCTTAAAAATCATCATCCTGGGCTGGGCATGGTGGCTCACGTCTGTAATCCCAGCACTTTGGAAGGCTGAGGTGGACGGATCACTTGAGGTCAGGACTTCAAGACCAGCCGGGAAACACGGCGAAACCTGGCCTCTACTAAAAATACAAACATTAGCTGGGTGTGGTAGCACGCTCCTGTAGTCTCAGTTACTCGGGTGGCTGAGGCAGAAGAATCGCTTGAACCTGGGAGACGGAGGTTGCTGTGAGCCAAGATCATGCCATTACACTCTAGCCTGGGTGACAAGAGCCAAACTCCGTCTCAAAAAAAAAAAAAAAAAAGGAAATGCAAATTGGAGGAACCATCAGAAGCATAAGAAGAATTCGCATGACATACACAGCACTGCTGCCCACGGACTCTGCCAGGCGCTTCATCCAGGAGCGAGCGCATCGACTCTGTGAAGCCGGGAGTCATGCCAGGCCCACCCTAGGCTGTCCTGTGTGGCGGTTGAAGCCAGGGTTAAAGTCCTAGCCCCTGGCTCGGGAGCTCTGGATACACTCTCTCAACTCTCCACATTTCAGCTTCCTCAAGCTTTAAATGGGGAAGGGAAGAGTAGCTGTTTTACAGCAGGGGTGGACTAACAGAACTAAATCATTTGTGGAGAAAGTCCGGACCAGCCTAGCACTGCAAATGCTTAGTAGCGGCTCATGTCACAGCATTGCCAGCGTCCAGGATCAGGCTGGGGGTGGGCACTGCTGGGGCGAGGAGGCTGGCCCAGAGCTGGCTGTGGCATCAGGCTGGATACCACCATAACCCCTGACACAATGGCAGCCGGTCTCATGCACATAAAGTGCTTGAGATGGCACCTCTTCGTTTTTTTTTGAGACTGTTTTGCTGTCACCCAGGCTAGAGTGCGGTGGCACGATCTCAAGCCACTGCAACCTCTGCCTCCCTAGTTCAAGCGATTCTCCTGCCTTAGCCTCCCGAGTAGCTGGGATTACAGGCACGTGCCACCACACCCGGCTAATTTTTGTAATTTTAGTAGAGATGGGGTTTCCTCATGTTGGTCAGGCTGGTCTTGAACTCCTGACCTCGTGATCCATCCGCTTCAGTCTCCCAAAGTGCTGGGATTACAGGTGTGAGCCACTGCAGCTGGCCAAGATGGCGCCTGTTCTTTGTACCAAGAGCCTCTGGGTGAGCCTGAGGCCCAGTTTCTAGGCTGGCAACCTTCACTCCCCATACAGCAATCAGACCACACCTTCAGCTGGGCACCTACAGGGTCTGGAACCAGGCCCGGCCTTGCAGGAGTCACCACCAGAGCCAGAGCCTGAGGAGGTCACATCCGCCCAAGTGCTTACAGAAGTGCAGTAGAAATGCACTTCTACTAAAAATACAAAAATTAGCCAGACGTGGTGGCGAGCTCCTGTAGTTCCACCTACTCAGGAGGCTGAGGCACTGTCAAGTAGAACCGCTTGAGCCTGGGAGGTGAAGGATGCAGTGAGCCAAGATCGTGCCGCTGTACTCCAGCCTGGGCGACAGAGTGACTCTGTCTAAAAAAAAAAGGAATGAACACACCAAAACTAAGATTTTACAAATACCATTGCTTAGAAATAAGGCTAAATATATCCAAATAAAAAAGAAACCAATCTATTAATAAGAAAAAAGAAAGAGCAGCATGGGCAGATCAGAATGTCACACCGACACGGTACTCACACCCGCCAGGCCCATCCCCAGCACTTCCAATGCCAATAAACACAGCTTCAATTCCCTGATCAGCGCCTTGACGGGAGTATTAGTGCCCTCCCACTTTAGAGAGGAGACAGGGCATGTGGCTCACGCCTGCAATCCCAGCACGATGTGAGGCCCAGACAGGAGGATTGCTTGAGGCCAAGAGTTTGAGACCAGCCGGCCTTGCCAACAAAGCCAGTCTCTACCAAATAATTTCAGGAAAAAAAAAAAAAAAACGAGAGAGGAGAAAACTGCGGCATGGGCAGAGTGTGATCACTTGTCCAAGGCTGCATGGAGAGCGGCTGGCTGGCCCAGGACGAGCCCTACACACACCTGTCCATTTAAAATGGTGTGAGGAGGTGGCTGAAAAGAAAGCGGCAGCGTGAGACACTTCATGAGCAGGTGTGGGTCAAAATAACTGACTCTGGCGTACTGAGCACTAACCACATGAGACGTGCTATCCGGGGCATTTCACACCCAGTTCGTCAGTATCTGCACTTAATGTGGACTCAAGAGGGGAGGTGATAGGCCCACCAGGTCTGACCACAGGGCCAGCTTGGACCCACCAGACTACGCCATGTCACAGCCCACATGACCCTATGATGGGCATGGAAAAGGTCATGCGATGCCCACTGTCTCAATGAAGGCGGCAGGAAGCAGGTGATCTTTGTCAGTCACGGTCTCCAGGCAAAGCGACTGAAGTCTCATAAAGGGGTGCGTCCCCAGGATCCAGGGGAGCATAGCCACAGGACCCCCATTCCACGGGCAGGGCCAAACAGCCATGGCAGGACTGCAGTTCTTGCAAAGGCCCGGGCTGGAACTCAGAGCCAGGTTCCAAAGGGAAGGGCTGTGCAATGGTTAGGGCACAGCTGTGGCCCTCAGGGATGGGGCTGGGATCTTTGCTGTCTCTCTCACAC